CCCTTTTATTATTGAAAGGTACAGCAATATGCGTGGCTGTTATATTTATATTTACTATGTCACACCTTCTAATAGGTGAGTATTATGACGTCTTTATTATTTTTTTTCTTCATTGCCACCTATTTAAAATTAATAACATATACTATAAATCCGAACACCCAGTTTAAATGGTTTAATTTTAATAAAATTTTGTATAAGTACTTAATGAAGCATAATAAGTAAATGATAAAATTTCAAAATGATTGCACTGCTTTAAAGCCTTTTGACCGTTAATAATGTGTGGATGCACCCTGATGTGCTACGCATTCTCCAACGCGCCTAGGCATGCTTCTGCTCAGGTGGTCAATGTCCTCCTGTGGTATCTCATTCCAGGCAACCACCAACTCCTCTCGAAGTGCTTCTAGAGTCTGAGGAGGACGTTGCAAATTGAGCAATCTCCTACCCATCATATCCCACACGTGCTCAATTGGGGATAAGTCGGGAGATCTTGGTGGCCATGGTAACAATGTGACATCATTATGTTGAAAGAAGTCTATTGTGACTCTTGCTACATGTGGTCGGGCATTATCTTGTTGGAAAGTTGGATCTGCCAGGGTGTCAATATAGGGTAAAAGATGGGGTTCTAGAACTTCGTGGACATGTCTTTCAACAAAAAACTGTGGATTCCTCCTTTCACCACGTCGCCTTATAACCCTGGCACGACCATCGTGCATGCCTAAACAAAATCGAGACTCGTCACTAAAGACAATACTGTTCCATTCCTGATCCCAGAGTGACCGTTGTCTGCACCACTCAAGGCGATTACGTCGGTGTTCTCGAGTTAAAAGGAGGACCCAGTGTGGCCGGTATGAAAACAAGCCAAAACTTCTCATTCGTCGGTAAACACTTCGCATGCCAATAGGTCTTCCGTGTTCTGCAAACCATTCATTTGCAATGGACCTGGTAGTGGAGAAACGGTCCCTTAAGGCCAATAATCTTAGGCGGCGATCTTCACGGTCTGTTGTTCTACGGCGGCGTCCAGTGCCCCTTGCTCTTTGCATACGGCCTTCTCGAAGCCATGCCTGACAACACCTAACCACAGTGTCTACACTTCTTTGCACTCTAACTGCAATTGCCCGAAAAGAAAGTCCAGCTTCCCGAAGTCCCACTATACGGTCCCTATCAAACTCACTAAGTTGACGAAATCGTACAGGTCTCCGTACTCTAGGCATCGTAACCGATCGTAAAGGATGTCAAGAACCAAAATCCGCCAACGTTGATTCTTTACTGCGGCTGAAATGTTCATTTTTAGAGCGTTAGTGAATTTAAAAAAAGCAGTATAAAAACCGGAATGTTCAACTGATAAGGCTGAAATTTTTTCACTTGTTATTTACAGTAAGATAAATACATTCACCAACTTTTATTAAAATAAAACCATTTAAACCGTGTGTTCGGATTTATATGTCACTTAGTATACATACATGTTGATTATACTTTGAAATTCTGCATCATTGGTTCTTGTATTTGAGTCGTTGATTTTCAATGTTGAGACTATTCTTAATTTATTTTTAGGATATCTGTACTGCAGCACAGATAGTTATGATATTAACTGGACTATGCCACAATGCATATTGGTTTTAAGATTAATTGGTAAGTTCCATTTTGCACTCTTCACATTACGTTTTGTAAATAATTCATGAAATTTGTATTGCTGTAAGAATTACAAGTAAAATACTTCGCAATTTTTGCAATGTACTGTTCCACTGATTTACTATGTGATAATTTTTATCAGCAACATTTAGATATCTACTTGTTGAACACAGTATTTATCAAATGTGGTAATGACCCCTTGTTGGATTATCAAATCCTCAAAAAATGAATATGGTTTGTTCAGTTTGAAGACAAATGGACTTTTTGATACATCATTCGTATGTTGTGTTGTTTTCAAAGATTTGTTATGGTTTTAGAGATAATGATCAAAGAAGAATACAAAATAAACATTTTTATAATTTTTGAGCTTTTATCGTAAATTCTTGGTGTGATATTAATTGAAAATCCTCAGTAGATGATTATGGATATACAGGGAAAACCAAATTTTTCTGAAGGCTTGATTTTAATGTTTACGATACAGAAGCACGATACGTGTGTATGTTAGAAAGAGATAGAAGCCGGCTGAAGGGCGAAGGTCATTACTACATTGCAGCAACGGTGACGCAGAAGATCGTGCAATCTGACGCGTTGCCAATATGTTACACCAGAAAATGTTCGCACAGGCTGCTAAAATAGGTTAGGTTATCGTCAACCCAAGAAGGAGGTGTGTTTAGAACATTTAATTTAATATTTTGTTTTCATTTGATTAGAATTATTTATTTCAATTTTGATGCCAGTTAGTGTTTTAATTTCTTCTAGAATCATATTTGATTTCCACCTATGGTGGACAGCGCTGTGGTCGGAAAATGTAACACATAACACTATGCAATACAAATGGACTTCATTTGTAGTTGGAACCTTCACATAGATTATCTTTGTAAGAAAATCACTCCAGTGTGGGTATTGCATCATAGACTCAGGTTTATAGTTGATACTATACTACTATTAATGTACTTTTCCTACTTTCAACCAGCTTATAACCTATGGTATAATAGCTTAGGGGCATCTTATCTAGCAAATAGGGGTTTTATTATTCAAATAGGATTATAAGAATAATGGCAGGGATAAACAAGTTAAATTGTTGCAGAGGGATTTTTAAAAGAGATGGGAATTTTAACTTAACATGTATCTATATTTATGAGCTATTGATACATGTCAAATCAAACTTGACAAGCTTTCGCTGTCTAACCGACAACACTTGTTCTGCACGAAAATCATCTCCGCCAAACAAATGCGTTATATCGATAATTCTAGTCCAGAGAGTTCCAACAAAATGCTTAACCAGGTGTAAGAATGTAGTCTAGGGAAAGTATGTGCAATCTGGCAACACCGCAATGGGAGATATCTGAGAATGCCCCTCAGCTACGAAATCTCAACCCCATAGGGGCTTCAAATAAAGGAGATATCCATTGAACCCATGTAATTCCAGATTTCATCGTACCCTATAATATATACGGACATTGACACGGATGGCCCCTGTATACAAAAATCGTTTCCGAATTCTTGATTCCCGCCTGTTTCTAGAAAATACCAGATCTTCGAAATGGGTATATAAGCAGCCAGCCGCTGTGGGAGGATCAGCATTACAGTATTCCAGCAGTGGATACATGGGCGAAACAATGCCGTTGCGATCCTGTGTGAACCATCCGAACGGTTTCTGTTATATTGAAAGCTCAGCGAAAGAACTTGAGCCCACTTGTAAGAAAATCCTACGAATCTATATTTCGGGTTCAAAATTTGCCGTTCAAGACAAAACTTGGACTCCCAAAACATGCTGCTGCACTTGCTCAAGAACCTTAGCAGGATCGCTACGGGGTACTCACACTTCTATGAAATTTGGAGTGCCAATGATTTGGCGGTAACCTAATAATTTTTTTTCCGTGAAACCCTTAGATAGAGAAGAAATGCATTCTTTTATTTGAGACGGAAATTCCCGCATATAAGTGAAGCAAAGCTTAAATACGAGAACTTTTCTAAGACCAAAAGTTTATAACTACGCTTTCGAGAAAGGAAAAAAGGGCATGGGATGCCTTCAAAAATGTATGTAGCAACTTTCTAGGCAACAAAAAGTTGGACAACTACAAAGATCTAGTAGAAGAACTCATCTTTTCTTCACTTCCATCTAGAATTCTTCGCTGACAATTTGGGTGCAGTTTCAGACGAGCACGGCGAAAGATTTCACCAGAAAATTGCTCAGGTGGAGAAGCGCTATAGTGGAAATGAAACCGGAAACATGCTGGCGGACTACTGCTGGACCATTAAACGTGAAACCGCTCCTGGCGAATACAAGCGAAACAAATTTTATCTTCGATGTTGTTCCCTCGAGCCCACCCTCCACCCTGACATTCCAAGAGTGGAGTGAGCTTACGTCCGGAATTCTTAGTGCTCGAGGGATCCATCATCATTAATTGTTTGTTTTAGAAGATAACCGACTGCATAGCTTAGGTGTGGAAACATGCGGACATTTATAAGACACCTTCTTTTTGCATGTTGATATTAAATATACCTACCGGCAATCGGTACTGAGGTATACCTTAACGCGTGTACAATCACTTGAACGGGAAGAAGTTGTATACTGGATACAACAACTTCCGGAACAAGCATTTCCCACGGCCCCGCTCAGTAGCGGTGGCTGTTGAATAATGATATGAACATGATGTTGATTTATAAAAAAAACTAACATATAAATATCTTTCCTTCATTGCTAATCTACGATACAAAATTAATCTAATTTATATTATATAGATTTTTTTTTAGTCCAATCAATTAATTGTAACTATGTATGTTGTGTTAGAATGATATCTACATACAAGAATATTTTCATTTTATGGCATATCAATGTATTCACAATTTGTAATTGATGTGAACAAATTATTATTATTATTATTATAATTATTTGGTTACGACATTATAAAAATGTTTAAAACTTGTATGTGTTCAAGATGTTCTATTGCAGCTTGTTTCAGTGAACTTTGAGCAAAACGAACTGCTTAGTTACGTATTTTTTGTGATATTACAATTTTTGCTTGCAATGTGCACTTTTGATCATACCGAACTTTAGGAACATATAAACGTTATCTCAGAATTTGAAGGAGATCCACCGTCCTGTTTTTTACATATTTGGCATGGTATTGAACTTTTTCCAGTATTATTTCATTTTGTAAAAGAAAATAATTCTGTCTATGTTTGAAAAACAAACTATACGTCACTTGAGCGCATTAAAACGTTACTGCAGAGTTGGAAGATAGTAATCAAATGAGTTTTCGGAATACGTAAATCTACGTTTCCGTCTTACTCCAATGTTCGGTATTGAAGCTTACCTGGTTTTCTTGTTACTAACCGCATTACGGTTGTTCCACCGGTGGTTTGAGAGAAAACATTTGACTGTCGTACCGATAACAGTTTAACTTGTATCTCGTATTTTTCAGGAGTTGCATTTGATTACTATGATGGACACCAACCTCCAAACACCTTGTCAGCAGACAGCAAAAAACTCGCATTACAAAAAGACCTAGCCTCTTAGAATTATTTGGCCATAGCTTTTTCCCTGCTGCTTTCATAGTTGGCCCACAATTTTCCATGAAAAGATATCTTCAATTTGTTGGGGGACAATACAGCAAAAAGGTACAGTATTTTTTTAGAGAAATAGCTATATCTATAAGGCAACCAAATGTTGGTTTGGCCTATTCAAGTGTTTCAGGTGCCAAATAGACTTTATGAATCGAGGTAGTAATAGTTTTTTAAAAATCCCCAATCTCAAAATGACAAATAGACAGATATGCTTTATTTACTGAAGAATACAATGATTCTTAATGACAAAGCTAACTTAAAACTAAACAAAGTTACATATGTGGATATTAATAAATAAACTCACACATAGTATAATGTGGTTTACAAATAATGAAGTTTTTAAGTTCACAGCGAAATATCTTTAAATTATTGATTTTTTTGATATCATCAGGGAGGCACTTGTAAATTTTCAGACCATTGTAAATGATTGAGTCTTCCATAAGTGTTGATTTAGGTTATTTTAAAAATAAGAGCCGCTGTTTCAAAAATAAACAAATGATACGACAGTCATTATTTTGAGATTTAAAATAAAGACCTGCATGTAGCTCTAGGATTGATTTTAGTTATATTTCTAATAGATCTTTTTTGTAGAATAAGCTCTTTTTTTAAACAAAAAATGATCGTTGTCATTTTGATTTGTACTGAAACATTAAGCCATACATACCTGGTTTGACTTGGCCAGAAAAAATGGGTGTCAAGCGATTTCTTAAATTAAAATTTCAAATGATTTTAGGATACTATCAATGACCCTCCAGATTGTATAGAACCAGCAGTTCAAAGGCTATGTTTAGGAATTGGATATCTGATTGTATTCCAAACACTGGGAATGTTTGTGTCTGATGAATATCTTCTCACAGATGAATTTGCCAATGTAAACTTTTTCAAAAAAATGCTGTTGTTGGGCATTTGGGGAAAATACACCTTGTACAAGTATATTCTTGCTGGTTACTATCTGAAGGAGCTTGTATCATGTTTGGTAAGTGAATCTGTAATCAAATCGTGAAAGAATGCATGCATTTTATAAAACGGTGAGGTCAAGTTAGATCCATGTTACTGTTAAAAAGAACAATAGATGCTATAGGCGACACTACATATGAAAAATGGCCTCAAAGGTATAAGGAATACTGGGTCAATTAGCCTTAACCAAATTTTCAGATCGATAGGTCGCCCCTAGGGGCTCCTAACCTCAAAAACGCATTTCTTTAAATATTTTTTACAGGCGCAATTTTGTCCAAACAATTTTGAAGAAATGTCATCGCTACACTGTTATATCCTGCGTAACGCGCGATTTTTATAGATTTGTGTAACGTAGAGGTTCGCCAAAAATAATTGGAATTATTTTTCGATTTTTTTGTTAGATAATGAAAATTTCGCAAACTTGAAAATTCTCTGATGTCACTGCTTTCGTGCGCTCTTTGCAGAACCTCTAAAAGAATCATTTTTGTAGGTTGCATTTTCATTTGTTTCACGAAAAATTGAGGAAATTTGAAATAACACATTTTTGCTGTTTTAATTTTGATACTTTTTATTATGATAGGAATAGTTGGATACATTTGTAACCCATTATACATACACGTTTCTTACATTTTTCCAGTATAAAATAACGATTTCTTGTCCGGAAAATTGGCAAAAATCCACAGATTTTTCCAATTTTAGCTATTTTTAGATTAGGATATTATAAAGTCGCTAAGTCCAAAGATCAATGCACACATGTATTTTTGTAAATTGTTTCAGGTTTCATTGTACTCAGTTCCAAAAACAATGATTTGTTGCCCGAAAACTTACTTTCACAGATTTGTTCAATTTCAGAGATCTTTAGTGATCATAAGTTCGGTAACACAAAAACTCGGTGCACATTATGTATTTTAGTGCATTATTTCCGGATTCCATTGTAACAATTGTGATTTATTGCTCGGAATATTGAGAAAAAAAGGAAATGCCGTATTTTTATGTGTACGTCTTTACTTGAAGGTCGTTTTTTTTTTAATTGTATAGCAAATAACTTTTTGCAGGTTTGGCCTATGATGGAGAAGATGAAAAAGGCAATCCAAAATGGAACGGGGTCGAAAACATTGAACTAAACATTTTCGAAAATATCACACAGTTCCAGGATTACGTGAAATCGTTCAATGTGAACACCAACAAATGGTTGGGTCAGTATGTCTACAAAAGACTGAAGTTCCTCGGGAACAGGTTGATCAGTCAATTCGTGTCCTTGATGTTTTTAGCTGTCTGGCATGGTTTCCACAGTGGATATTATGTGTGTTTCATGTTTGAGTTTATCGTTATCTACATGGAGAGAGATGTGAGTATACAATTTTTATTGAAATATAAATGTTTATGCATACAGTTGATTATGGATTCTACTGCTTCTAGGGATATTATCTGTAATATGTGCCTATACTATGTTTATTATAGGGTGTTTTCAAAGTTGAGTCATTTATTTTAACAGCTTATAGAACTCGTCAAAAGAAGTTGATACCAAAAATCACCTATATAAAAGTTGCATAATAAGAGAGTTTACATTATTAAAAATTATTTAAAAAAAATCATTGTCAAGTTAAATGGATACCGTTTTTACAAAACTGTTCAAAATTGCCCTTATTTGTTCGATTAACGCAGAAGCTTGCATTTTCAGAAAGTTGTTGAAGTTCTTCTGGAGTATTTACTGCTCCATCATGATACACGAATTCATTCAAATGGCGCCACAGAAAAAAGTCGCAAGGCATTAAATCCGGAGAGCGAGCAGGCCAAGAAATGGGCCCTATCCATCTATTCGGAAACTCATTATTTAGATCAGAGTTCCCCAAACTTTTTTGTGTCGTAACCCCTTGCCATGTTTTTCCGTGTTGGGTAGACCCCCTACTTACCTGATATTGATTTCCTGTAAATTTCTAACTGTAGTGAAGTTTAGTGTTAAAAACTTAAAGTAAAAACACATGTTAATTTATACATTTATTAATTGAATTTAAATTAAAACTACTCAAAATAAAATTTTGTATCTGTTATGTAAAATATACGTAACATTAAATAAACAGGTGTCTGACCAATAAGTGCCCGCATTGGGAATAAGTGCCCGCATTGAAAAAAAATAAGAGGGATAAAATAAAAAAAAAGTGAAAAATAATAAAAAAAAAGTTTTTTACTTAAAATAGTACAATAAGCGAGTTCGTTTATTAATTATAACATAAACGTATGTTCTACAATAATTTCACTGTTAGTTTGATTAAATTCCGCTTCTTATACGTTTAAGTTATCTAAAAATAGGCAAAAAATTAACGAATTTTAGTGTGAATTTTCAGAATAATTTAAAAAAAAATATTTTCTATAAAGGGGGGTTCTTTAAAAAAATCAATGCGGGCACTTATTCCCAATGCGGGCATTTATTGGTCAGACACCAATAAACATAAAATAAACTATAAATAAAATAACATAAGCAATAAGTCATATTTTTAGTGAGAAGGATGAACCTGATGCTTTAATAATAAATTATCAACATTTGGCGTCAATTTTGTAAGGGTTAATCTTAAATCTCCTCGGCTAATGATGTCCAGTCTGTTTCTTTTTTTCGTTAGGAGATTGGTAACAGCGCTGAACCCCCTTTCCACTAGGTATGACGATGGAAAGGAAATTAAAAATTTCCTCGCTATATTCCATAATACGGGATAAGTAACGGGTATGTTGTTTTGCAGCCAGAATTGCTGAT